TTTTTTGTACTTTACCCCTTTTTTTTTTAATTTTACTTTTATTTATTATTTTAATATTTAAAAAATATTAAATATTTTTTTTAGTTTTTAATAATATTTTATTAATTTTTTAATAGAAAGTGGTCCTCATCTCTTGCCACGTCAGCATTTAACAGAAAAACTAACAGAAAAATTGACGGAGGTATGACATTGTCACAAATTCGTAAGATGCGGTATGACATTGTCAATTTTAAAAGATAAGGTATGAAACTGTCGTGACCCCAATAGTTGAGGTAGTTTTTTGTACTTTACCCTTTTATTTATTTATATGCATTCCACTCACATCAATATTTTAATTTATTTAATTTCTTATGTAATTTTTATGTAATATGCATTCCATGCCCATCAATATTTTATGTAATTTCTATGTAATTTCTTATGTAATTTATATGCATTCCACGTCCATCAATATTTTAATTTATTTATTTGTGTTACACCCGTATTTTTTAATACTATCTTATCCCACATTTTTATAGACACTACAAGCACAAGCATTCTACAATGCAAAGAGCCATAACAAATCATTCAACAAATGGGAATAATGGCAAATTGTCAAAGATTGCCCTAGTTACAAAATTGTGGCAACCGGTCCAAAAGTTGTCATGCACGGTATGGGTCTACACAGTTCGCCAGAAGCAGACACAGCCGAACAAGAAGCCAACACATTTGAAGACACGGAAGGGACGCCTGAACAAGTGCCAAAGACCCAACCGACTCGTCAGTCCCTTAGGCCTCAAGGTAAAAAGGCATCAAAGGAAAAAGGTAGTTCTTCCAAAAATGACTACACTAAATATATGGAAGAACTTACTTGTCAAGGTGAACTGAACATGGCATAGGAAAAGGCTAAAGATGAGGAAAAAGCTGCTGCTATGGCAGCAATTATTGCAGCTACTGAGGCTCGTGATGCGGCGGCTGAGAGACAAAGAGAAATAATTAATCGAGAGAACGAGATGATTAGAGAAGCACTTCATCGAGAGAATGAGATGCTTAGAGAAAAAAGGATGGCTCAAACAGATCATGACACTATGAACAAGTCTCTAGTAGGACTGTCTCCGAATTCAAAATATTTTTGGACATCAGAAAAAAGAGATGTCGTGCGAAGGAGGCGTGCAAGAGATGCCGAAACAAGTCAAGGGGGTTCCAGCTACAGAAATCCTAGCAACCAAGATCCTAGCACCACATATCCTAACTCCACAGACTTTGTATAATTTCGCATTTATTTGTACTACTTTATTTAATTTCTTATTTATTTTTAGAACTTTATTTAATTTCTTATGTAATTTCTTATTTACTTTTAGAACTTTATTTAATTTAAACTTAAAATTACATAACCTCACCATTTAAACTTAAAAAAAAAAAACCATTTAAACTTAAAACACCAAATAAAATTACATAAAACACCATTTAAACTTAAAATTACATAACCTCACCATTTAAACTTAAAACACCAAATAAAATTACATAACGTCACCATTTAAACTTAAAAAAAGAAGCAAACACACTAAATAAGATTACTTAAAAAACAATACACTTTATTCTTCAACCACAAGCCTTATTTTAATTATCTTCGCCTTCGTGCAATCTCCACTGATGGTCAATCAAGTCATTCTGGCGGGCTATGTGCCAGTATGGCTCTTGCAATGAAGTGTATCGTTGAACGATCAATTCATTGTAACGTCCATCCCGTTCCAACGGCTCGTGTTGCACGGGATCTTCGGTCCGGTCATGAGCATAGTAGATTTGTGTTCTTGAGTTGTTCATCGGATCCGGCTCGTATTCATCGACGGCATCATAATCATACTCGTCTTCAACAATCATGTTGTGGAGAATAATACACGTCATCATGATGGATCGAAGAGCCTCGACATCAAACATTCTAGCTGCAGCCCTGACAATGGCCCAACGAGCTTGCAGGATACCAAAACAACGCTCAACATCCTTCCGACACCCTTCTTGACACTTTGCGAGGTGTTTCTCTTTTTCACTCTGCGGGTGTGGCACTGTTTTGACAAATGTTGACCACCTTGGGTAAATACCATCTGCAAGGTAGTATGGTCCCTCGTATTTATTACCATTAACTCAATATGTGCATCTCGGCCCACGCCCTTGTAGCAGTTCGTCAAACACTGGAGATTGGGTAATGACATTTAGGTCATTCTGAGCTCCTGGAACACCAAAAAAAGCATGCCAAATCCATGTATCAAAAGAAGCCACCGCTTCCAGAATGATGCTTTTGGCTCCTTTTCTGTCGCCATAAGCTCCTTGCCATGCACTTGGACAGTTTTTCCGTGTCCAGTGCATGCAGTCGATGCTTCCAATCATGCCAGGGGAGCCTCGCATCTCACCATTCCTTAGAAGCCTTCGCATGTCCCTTGTCGTGGGTTGCCGAAGGTACTCATTGGTGTAGAGGGCTTTAATTGCAGAGCAAAACCGCATCAGGGACTCCAGAACTGTTGTTTTTCCCATCCTTGCGATCTCATCCACTTGATCTGTAGATGCTCCATATGCAAGCATTCGCAAGGCAGCCGTAATTTTTTGCTCAGGAAGAAGACCTAGAACATGAAAAGTATCCTCTTTTTGCACAAAATATAGATCATGGTTGCAAACATCACTCATGATTTTAGCGAACAAACTTCGTTGCATTCTAAAACGACGTCTAAAAACATGATCAGGGAAAACGCTGTTGGGAATAAAATAATCTTCCAAGAGATCTTTACCTCGTCTTTCCCTTCTTTTATCGATGTTTGCCGCACGTCCGGGTTTGGCTATCTGACCCATAGCTTCCATGATACGGCGGGAATGTGAGGCCCTCCGCCTTCTATGGTGATCATCCTCATCTTCCTCCATTGCGAAGGCCTCATCTCCACCTCCACCTTGGTCAAGATTGACCAATTCTTCCTGTTGTGCCAACAACCTTTTCTGCTGCTCTTGCAACTGTTTATACGCTCTCCTTGAAGAAGACATTGTAAGAACTCAAGATTTGAAAACGATAAAGAAGAATTCTGAGCTAAAAAAAAGGATTGAGTTTAGTGTGAGGATGGATGTAGGGATGTAGGGTTTATATGGACAAAAAAAAAGAAGATGAGGTTCTAGACAATGCCACGTGGCACTACGTGATTGGTTGAAAATCTTAGCGGAAATCTATTCAAAAAATAGTACGTTCGGATAATGACACGTGGCGTGAAGAGATTGGTTAAAAATCTTATCGAAATCTTGCCTAAATTATTGTAAACAGGAAGTGACACGTGGATTGTCGGGATTGGTTGAAAATCTTAGCGGAAATCTATTCAAAAATAGTACGTTCGGATAATGACACGTGGCGTGACGAGATTGGTTAAAAATCCTATCCGAAATTAAAACTATTTTTTTTTATTTTATAAAAAAATTATTTAATATTTTAAATGGACTGGGTGCCAGCGCATTTTGTAGGGGTGGAGATCGTTTGTGCCAGCGCATTTTTAGACTAGGTGCCAGCACATTTTTTTTGGGGTGTAGATGCTTTGGCCTATTACTGTTCATTGGGTCTATTACTGTTCAATTAAGTGGATAAATGGGCTGGGTGTTGGCGCAAAGTGGATAGGGGTGGAGTTGCTTTTAGCATAGGAACATGGTCAGTCAGGCAATGACTATGAGGAATATGAGGACGATGAGGATGGTGAAGAGTATGAAGAGGAAAAGTATGATTAAAAAGAGCTTCACCCCCACCACATTTGCATGTTGCAAATTTTCAATTTGATTGAAATCCCCCATCTCATCACTCTCTTTTTTCAGTATCTAACTGGGCAATTTTCAAGCTTTTTGTAATAATTTTTCAATTCTAACAGGTAATTCTCCACTTAATTGTTTAATCTTTTAATTGCTACAAGCCTACAAGTATATTGTCTTTCGAACATTCTAATTTTCCTTATGACCATAGGCCTTAATTATTGTTTAAAAAGTATTGAAGAGTCGTATATTTTCTATGACTCCGACTGTAATGAAGATTTTCCACAGTGGTCAGGATGGTAAAGGTTTATAGATATCTAATTTTATTCATATGTGTATTCTTTCTCATTTGCTTTTCTACTCATACGAACTGAAACTTTAAACTAAACCAATTTTAGGGTTTTACAACATTTCAAGCACATTCCTACAGTCGGGAATTCTCCCTATGTCTCTCCTCCTTTCTCTTCAATGTTTGATTGGTATTTTCCTGTTATTAGGTTTTTGCCTCAATCAGAGAGAGAGAGAGAGAGAGAGAGAGAGATGTTCTTGCAAACAATCAATCGGTGTGCAATTTGTGAGGGAATTTGCTCCATTCTTTCTATTGGTTATTTTACGTTTTTGGTAATTAAACTTTTTGTTTTAATTTTTCTTTTTTATTTTGTTATGTTCCTCTAATCCAGGAATTCGACCTATTAATATTTTTGTAAATTTTAATTATGTTTATGTTGGAAAGTGGATGCTACTTGCTATTGTTCATGGACATTAGATAAGAACTTGCATTTAAAATCTCATGTTGTTTGACAATTGCATGAATAACATTTAAATAATTACTTTACGCAAAGTGAAAACGAAAAACATGACAACCTTTTAGAACGTGCATGGTAAAGAAAAAGTTTATCTTTACACAATACATTTAAAATATATCTTGACAATTACAATGGAAGAAAAACTATCATAATACACCTTTAGGGACGTGTAGCGTCCGTGATGCAAAAATGCTTAACGTGCGTACGGAGAGGCTAGTTGTTTATAAATTACTTTAGTCTAAAGTAAGATTTGAAATTGGCACTGTTTAAATGAACAGTGTTTGAATCCGAATTTTATTCTATTTAAGACCACGCCACTACTTTTCAAAGTGGCCTACGGGAAAATATGCCCACACGTTGCTGCGGGAACCTGTTGTTTCAGGTGTAATCGGATGAATGAAACACATTTAAGTTGAATAAATTCAACACAATTATGAACAAACAGAGGGATACATGAGTGAATGAGATTGATAAGATAAGCAATTTTTTTTTATATACATTCAAGTGAGCTGGCATATAAACACATTGTACAATGAGCAGGAAGAAACTGAATGTCTTTGATTAGAAATAGATGGTTTCCAAAAAAGTTCTATTTCCTGAAGAAACATGTAGTTCACACATAAAATTTCAGTTACCAAATCCAGGAAAGAAAAAAAAAACAAAAACAAAAATGTGACTCTATATGGCTTTCTTACTACACAAAAATATCCCTTAGTTAAAGCATGCCACACATCATCACATTGCTATTATATGAAGTATATTCCTCAGTGGCAAGTAATATACTCTCCTTAGCATGACCTCTCAATCCCCTAAGCATCTACAAACCATGAACTAAGGGTGGCAATCTGACCATGGTTGTGTATGTCAGGTCGACTCTATGCAATTGAATATATAAAATTTAAGCAGCCCCAGACAATCTCCTAAGCATCTACATACCATTAACATTATTTGCCCAATTTTATCAAATGCTGGATAAACGATCACAATTTACTCCCTTCCAATTTCCACCTAACTCCAAACAAACAATATTGATAAATCTTTATCATCACCTTTAACAAAACAGATTACATCGAAAAGAAAAAACAAAGTTCCTATGCAAACAAATTTAAGCAGTTTCAGATAGTCTCCTAAGCACAAAATTATAGTTCAATAAAGAAAAATCCTGATCCAAAGCTCCAACTTTTTAACCCAAAATGAAAACGAAAAGCATGGAACATATAATTCAGTTTTGTTATTAGATTCTCCAAATCCCCAATTTAAATCCATTGTAAAGATAATACCATCGACTAAGGGTGGCAATCACAGAAATGGAATCCATGTAAAACCAAAATGCATTAAGAATCCTCAATAGTTAAAATGTAAGCTAAATCAACTAAGTGCTCCGAAGATAAACCCACAAATTTCCAAACAAAGCAAAGAAATTGAAACTGTGACATGAAAACTAATTAAAGTTCATATAATGTGATTGTATCATTAGCTAAGAGGCCACATAGAATGTCGGTACTGCATGGCACAAAAGCAGTGTAAAATCTACATGTTTAGGCAATATCATCACGCTTGAGAATTTGAAATGCACAAACACTGCACACACTCACACACACCGGAATTCGTATTATGATCCAAAAGCAAGATATAAGAAACGAAAATGGAAAAACAAAATGAAAGCAAAATGAAAGCTAACATATGTCTTGACCAACATATTTATAAGATATGGATACCAATCCACTGGACTCCAAACAGTTATGAACCAGCTTCTTCCTCCCACGACCCGAGTTTTTGAAAATTCCAAAGAAAATAAATCCTTTAGCAATTCAGAGAAATTTGAGGACCAAATCTGATTAAATTCTTGTTAAATGAGCAAAGCTACACCAATTAAATGAGAAATTAAAAATAGTTTGAATCTAAGAAATAGAAGAACGATCACACTAAGACTCCCCTAAGACTCCCAAGACGACTATATTCAAACATTTTAGAGACGAAAGGCGCATAGGCAGGTCAAATACTTTTAGTAAAATGCAATGATTTACCAATTTGACCACCAGAAAGGAGCACACAACACCAATCCGAGAAATAGGAACTTCGGGATTGAATCCAAAATCACCTGGTCAATGAATTTAATCAGTTTAGGGATTAGGTTACTGAAAGATAATTGAAATCATAAAGAAACCAAAAATAGGGGTAAAATTCTATACATGGAAAGACAGTGAAACCTAAACCCTTATTTTCAAGCTCAATTTATTCTCCGTTTTTATCATGCGAAACACATCGAAAGCCAAAGTTCCCGATCATGTTTACAACGACAAACACATCACAACTTGTTGTTTTTAAGCGAAACACGTCCAAAAGTCAATAAATTTGTTGTTTTTTTTTTTTCATGAACCAAGCTCAACCCACTTTATGATTGCAAGAAACACAAAAAATACAAAAAAAAAAAAAAAATGTACACAGCATGAACCTTACCCAAAAAATCTTCAAGAAACAACACAATCTCACCAGCAGTGAAACAATAATGGCCTTGTGCCAATAACCATCAATAACTAATGGGTCTGGCCTTAAAACTTGTTAATAAAAATTAACAAACAATGGGAGCAACAAAAGCTTGTTAATAATAATTCTACAAACCATTAACATTACTTCTCAAAATTTCTTCCCCAATTTCATTGATGACAATTTTATTGATGGCAATAGATGGTCTCCTAAGCATCTGCAAACCATTAACATTACACCAACTTAAAGACATAGCAATTATACATTCCACTGTTATCGTGGTCATACATAGTCAAAGGATGCCACAATTACATAGCCAAATCCAGTCTCGACGTGAGCAAAAAAAATAATGTAACAACAGTCATGAAACCACCGTAAACAAATATACCTTAAAAGCCAAAGGGCCAAGTGCTCCATCCAACGATCCAAGTTTCTGAAAACCGCAAACACAGCAAATCCATTAGCACTAACTCACAGAACAACAACGAAAATAATAGCTCAGAAACAATGCTGAAATTCCATTAGCACTAATCACACACTGCCGGAACAGAGATGCTAGCAAAGCTTCACCAAAATGACAAAGACTAAAAACCACAAACAAGAAAAAAATAAAAACAGAGTTATCAGACAGGAGGAAACTGCCAAAATGATACTGGCAGGTGGAGAGAAATATATATATATATATATATACACACACACACACTCAAAAATTAGAAGAAAAATAAACATGATCTTATTTGTCAACAAACTAGAAAAAGAATATAAGGAAGGCGTGGAAAGCTTCAACCAAAAACAAAACAAAGAAAAGGCTCAACTTGTAACCACACTTATGGAGGTAATTACACACGTAAGTTTGAAAGTCATTATACCTCCTGTTAGATTCTCATATCCTCACTTGGGCTCCATACGGAAAGATTTTCTTGACAGTTCCTTCTAAAAGTGTTCCCTTCTTAAAGGTATAACAGTTCCTGAAACATTATATGGCAAACCAATGTCAATTCTTATGAAAATTAAGATCATAGAATCTCAGATCAAACAATGAGAGAACATAGCAAGCAACCAAAAACATGAATAAATTAAATGTCGAAATCCAACTGACCCAAGCTTCCTTCTCACTCAATACCAAGTCATTCTTAGCTTCGTCTATTCGAGTAATATGCACATGCATCCGGCAACCCACCTACACCATTAGGACACAACATGTGTAAGAAGCAGATTAACAAGCATATGCAACTATCTAAGGGAGGGAAAAGTTAAACAATGAAAAGTTGTCAGTGCCTTGTTTAGAGGCTGAGGCGGGATGCGAATACCCAGCCTACCCTGTCTGTTGCCATTCCTAGTCTCTTTACTTGTACAAATAACTTCACCAAAAAGAAGATTTTCAAACTTGAATTTAAAATTTTCACTTAAGTTCAACACGTCAGGGACGAATTGATTAACTACAATATCTGCTGAAAATATATGACAAAAAGTTAAGTCTGAATACTGATCAGGAGGTCAAATACCTTCACCTAAATACAATGCTTTAGCAAGCTGACCACCAGTAATCTGCACACAACACCAATATGAGAAATACGAACTTCGGGATTGAGTGAAAAATCACCTGGTTAATAAATTTGGATTAGTATTCTGAAAGAGGATTGAAATATTAAAAAAACAAATAAAAGGGGTGAAATTCTATACATCGAATGACAGTCAACCCTAAACCCTGGTTTTGAAGATCAATATATTTGTTGTTTTTATCATGCAAAACGCAAAGAAAGCCAAAGTTGTTGATCGTGTTTACGATGAGAAACACTTGATAGCAACTTTAAAAGCATGCTTGTTAAAAGACATAAGCTATAATCAAACCAAACAGAAACATTAAATCTATTTCTAACAACAGCAACCATAATTTGCTACAAAAAATAACATATCTCAACATATTTGTCAGGAAATGATTCACAGTGCATCATATGTGAATGAACAAAAATCAGATGCATAATGTATTTTAGAGGGATAAAAAAACTGACTATTTGATTCATAGGGTCAGCACAACAACAAATAATAGGGTAATGAACAAAAAGGAGCAAATTGCATACAGTTTGATTTCTGCAGAGAAGCTATAACACTGAAAGACCAACACAACAGGAAGAAAAAGAGAAATGAAGAGGAAGTGGTATTATCACAGTGAAGAAAGTAGCACAAAATATCTGTTTTTCTGTCCCAATTTAATAATTTAAAAACAAATCTTGCACTCCCAACTAAAAGTTGAATAACCGAACTAGAACCAGACAGAAAACAAAGCAGGAAAAAAAACAGGTTTCTAAGCAGGTTCAAACCAGAAACAGTGAAATAAGGGAAAATTCAGTTCAAAAGGGACACTTAGCTTTGAAAGGAATTGAAGCTGCCAGCTAGGAGAAATCCTCATCAATGCTTACAGAGATAGCTTCCAGCTAGAACCAAATCTCTGAAACCAACCCTCGGTTTAGGCGTCCCTTCATGCCTCACCGCTTTTCTAAAGCAGATCTCACCAAGAAAAAACAAAACCCAAATTCCGGGCAGGCCTACCTATTGCTTTGCTCATCTTACCCATTCCTTTCTCCTCAAATTTTTCCTTCCCGGAGACCTCCTCTCTCTTCTCTCTGCATCGCACGACCTCTCTCTCTTCTCTCTGCCATCGGACGACTCCTCCTCTCTCTCTTCTCTCTCGCATCACACGACACCCCCTCGTCTCTTCTCGCTGGCATCGTTGCAGGCTAGGCCTGCCCGTGTCGGCCATCCATCCGAAAAACCCAACCACAAACAAAACCCACCAACCCAGTGACAGCCCAAACCCGCAAAAGCCCATACAACTAACCCTGAAAAAAAAAAAGGAAAAAAAAAAAACCAGGCAAAATCCTTGGAGCAATGGCATGTCCGTAAATAGTGTGAAATTAGGATCCAAAAACTATTCATTTGTACAGTGCAATTGAAAAGCCTTCTTTAGACTAAAGTAACTAGCTAGTAATGCCCGCGCGTTGCTGCGGGATTACAAATTCCAAGAATAACAAATTTGTAAGTGGAAGAACCTCATTGAAAGCCTTCTGGAAGCAGTACAACACATTTTATAACCTTTGCCTCATTCTGGTCCGGAGTGCATAATGTGCAAGCAGTTTAAGCATTTCCCAGCACCACAAAGCCTCATATTTCCTAGGATTAATCAACAATGGCTCCTCCAGCTTTGACATAGCAGCTGGGCAAACAAACACAAATCCACATTTACAAATTTTCACTTCACTCCCAAATAAATAATTAATAAAAATAACATGGAGAATTTCTACGTCTAAATAATTAATAAAAAAAAAAGATATTTCGGGGAAATTCAAAGTTAGCACCTTTAGTTAGCTTTTTTTATTCCAGTACATTCCAAAACTGAGACAGATTGCTCTCTATTTTCTCTCATAATACAGAAGTGCAGTTTCTATTTTTTGATCAACCAAAGCATAGTCGACATCTTTTAGAGTCACTTAGATTGCATCTCCTTACATGATTGAAAAAACAATTGAATCACAATTAACATTAACAGAATTTTTAAATCATATATCCAATCCTATAGAGAGATCACAATCAAATAGTTGTTATCTGGCGATGAAACTTAAAAACCAAAAATGCACCTTAATGTCCTAGAGAGAACAGAATTGCAAGCAAAAGTAGAATATTGAAACAATATCGTGATAATCACGAAATAAGTTTATGCGTTTGCTAATATTGATTTATTAGGTTCCAACTTTGTCTCAATTTATCATTTTCTGTTAAACTGAAAGTGTAAACATTTAGGCACTAACCAAGAAAAAAGCAATTAATTATTTGATGCTACTTACAAAACCAATTGGCATATATAGGCTTTGGTTAAAAGGTTAAGTATTACCAAAAGATTCCAGCTGCAAAAATGCATGGAATATCTACAAAGTGTTTCATAAATCCAGAAATAGTCATGCTTCCAAACAACCGAACACAATTGATACCAAATTGCAACAATTTCTTTAAATTAGTCAAATTAATCTATTGATGCACAAATAGAAAATTGTTGTATATATTCAGTTTCACCTTTTGCAAGGAGTAGTTAATGATATCCAAGAATGATGTGAAGACATATCATGGGTTAAACTATCTATGAGTTGAAAAAACTAAAACGCATTGTACAGAGCAATGAAATAGCTAAAAAGCAAATGAAATAACTAAGTTACCATTCTTTGTCTTAAGCAGCAAAACTCTCATTCCATCAGGTACATTTCCACTTCTTCATATCCTCTGCAACAAAATAAACTATATCAACATCGAAGTGATACTCACCAATTGAAGTCCACATGATACAAAGCCTTGGCAAAAAAAAAGGACAAAAAAAGTAGTTAATAAGAAACAATTTCATCAAGCAAAGATACAAAGTGGACTATAGGATTTTACGAGAAAACTCATATATTAATCCTTTATAACCCAGCAAGAGATTGGCCAATGCATCATTGAGTTGAGTTCTTATACATATTTGACTGCATAAACCAAAAGCTCAAAGTGGGATTCAAAAAGTCAACACGTTCAAATGCTATATTTTTATAGGGATGTAACACTTGGTAATTTCTCGAGTAGTAAGTTCCCATTCTTTATCTATCTAATTTCACACGCCTACAACAAATAAAATAGTTGAACAATTTCAGTTTTTGAAAAAGGAAACACAGATGGAAGAAAAAATTCAACAATTTGATCTTGTAACTCATAACCACAGAGAGTCAAAAGCACTTCAATTATGTAAGGATGGAAAAGGGATGCAAATAACTTATGCCCAATCGAAATCACTGCCTAATTGTCAACTTTTATAGACAAAGATTAGAAAAGTTTAGAACCAAGCACAATAGTTAAAGTTACTTTAGATTTTCCAATGTTCATAATCATTTTGCTGCTATATAAACTGATGTATTGGCAATGGCATAGAATGCCTATAAAGCTACTTACAACGCAACAAATTCCAATGCATATATACTGATGTTCTTGCCTTTGCAAGCAACCAGCTTCTATTGACCCATTGAAGTTTCAATAAATATTATCTATTCCAATAATTGAATCGAAGCCTCCTTCCAAAAATCCTAATCGCAAAACCAAGAATCACAATCAAAACAAATGATACAAATACATACACAGAGATATACACTTATATCTACTTAGCTACTGTACAAACCACTCTTTTTTCTTAACCTTGGCTTCAAAGTAAACTTTCGTACTACACTTCAACCGCCTCGTTATTTCTTCCTGCAAGTGTTCGAACGAATCTGTAAAATAAAGTGAAAGAGTAAAATAATAGATTATCATAGCAAGAACTAAAGAAATTCATCCATATTGCCTTATTCAATCACATCATTCCCTTTTTCCCTACTAAATAAAAAAGAGGTCAGTGATTCAATACAAATATATTCACAAAAATAAAAAATTCTTATATTTTCCTGAAGGGATATCCCAGAATTTAAATTCACCCATTCCCTAATTGTCTTAATTGGAGCGAACCCAGAAACAAAGTAACGAAAAAAAAAATGAAAAACTTATTCTCAACATCTAAACAGTTCAAAGCCCAGAACCAATAAAAAAAAATAAAAAAATAAAAAAAAACAAAAAAAAACACAAAGAATACCTTTGCGGGTTTGGGCCTCTTTTCTCCTAAGTGTTACAGTATTGGTGCTGCGCCTTAATCCGTCGTGTTTCCGTCGGTAATAATCAAAGGTGGGGCTACAGGTTTGGATGAAGAAGAAGAGGAGGATCCGAGCCTACAAACAAAATCACAAAAAGCAAACTTAAACACAAAACCCATCTGCAAATCCTAAACCACCAAAAAAACAAAAAAAAAATTAAAACACCCACGCTAAGAAAGGCAGAAAAACTCACCAGTAACCGCTAACTTTTCTGGGTAAAAAATCGAATCGATTCGAATGAAAAATAAAAAAAAGTTCTAGCTGCAGAGTGCTGCTGCACACGCGAAGACACGTTCACAAAGCCTTTCAAAGGCTGAGATTCAACTTTCAAATATGAAGACTTTAACCCACAATTGTTCTTTCTTCCCCCCGAAACCCTCATTGAAGGACAGCAAATGAAACTGTACACGCCAACCCTCGAATTCAGTGAAAACCGAGAAGACAAAACCCACTTTCCCACTTTTGAAATCCATCACTCATACCTCTCCCCTGCGCTCTCTTCCCATCGGCATCTCTCTCTCTCTCTCTCTCTCTCTCTCTCTCTGTTTCTTCCGCTCTCTGTCAGAGTTTCCATCCCCCGAAACCCTCGTTGAAGGACAACAAATGAAACTCTACACGCCAACCTCTGAATTCACTCAAAACCGAGAGGACAAAATTGCCCTTCCAACCTAGTCCACATATAATGGGTTTCTTGCAAATAAGTTGAAATGAAGGGGTAATTCGTCCTAAACCCTCCGGACAAAATTACCCTTCTGAGTTCAAATAAATACCCTTCAAACCCAGCCCAAATCTCATACTTTTTATTGTAAATAAGATGAAATCAAGAGGTAAACAATTGACTGTAGCGGAATGAACAGTCAATTGCTCCTCAATTTTAGAATAGATAATGTGTTTGGGTCTGAATTTCAGTTTAATTACGATCATGCCACTGTCGGCCTTTGGTTTGGTATTGATGTGTTTTGATAAAAAAAACTGTTTCTGCTATGCTGATAGAATAAACTCATTTTTGCTACTTCATGTTTTCAGTTTTTTTTTTTTATACTGTGAAAATAAGCAATTTTTATCAAACACATTTTTGAACTTAATTTTTTTTATACCCACTTTTTATAAAATGAGCTTAGTACCAAACCAGTAGGTTTGCATATTTCAGCTTTTTTACGAAGCTGCCATTGGTTCGAATAACGGGAATGCCCGTTTAGGGTTAACATTGCACGGTTGGGGGCAAAAGTTGGGTGGGCATTGTTGTCAGTTTGGGTTTGGGACAAGTTAGGATTGTATTCGGTGGGATCGACCGCTCAGTGTGGGATTTGGTGAGGGGAAGGCATGCGGCTTACAGAGAGGAGGAGAGATAGAGGGGGAGGGAGAGAGCGTTCTGCAGCACGCTAGCAGTTTTCGTTCAGATCCAGGTTTGTTATTTTTCCCTTAAAATTTAGATTTTTTTTTCGCCATTTTATGTTTCGTTCAGGTCCGGGTCCGTTTGGTTGCCGAGAAATTCACTTGAAAATTTTCTTTTTGTTGGGTTTCAATTGGTTATTTGGGGCCGCTTCTGGGATCAATTGCTTGCCGGCATTTGAATTCGGCTTCTGGGATTGCGAAATTCTTCGATTCGAAGTATTGCTTGTCGGCATTTCATAGATCACATTATGCATTTGTTAGTGAATCGTGCTGAGAACATGTCAATCATATTTAGGTTCTGTGCAAGGAAGGGGACATATGAATCCTGCTCTTGATTTTTCAATATGTAATCAAACATTACTTGGGCTTATAATTTCATACAGAAATCGAAAACCCATTTGGTGAGCCCTTGAGTCAGGGGCTACGCTAGAACATTTGGAATGAGAGTGGTCAAAGCCAATCATGTTTTTGTATTATTTTCGAGTTGAAAAATTAGGTTTTGCTTCATAAGAAGTTCAAATTACACTCTATTGGCTCTGAGACTTGGAAACTCAATATCTTTGTGATGTTAGATTAACATAGTTAAACTATATTTTCTTTTGATGGACATATCTAAATTTCTGTGTTTGCACTGTAGGGATGTCTTATCTGGTGAAGTGTTCAAAATCCTTCTGCTAACTGATTTAATAGGTTGAATTTGTATCCTAGGTTTTCTTCCAATATGGTCTGAACTATTTTGTTTAATTAACGAAAACAGGTCACTTCTCTCTATGGTGGTCCCTTAGAGTTTACGTTTATCGTGCAAAGCACAGAAGACCCTGCTTATCGGGCTGTATCTATGCTACTGTCAGAGCTTAAGGTATACGCAACAATAATCATGGTTTCTTTAATATAAGAAGAAAATCCAGGACAAGTCATATTGAATATATGCTTGGAAGCACAAGTTTAATGCATAACATTTTTTAGGTTACATGTGTTCCCAGAATGATCTGTTTTACGTTTAACTTCATTTCCTTGCAGGACGAGGTTGATGTTAAGATTGTTGTGGCTGGTATTTCAACAATCTGCAGTCAGAAAATTCACAACCAATTGGTATGTACCTGATTAAAATAATTTACGCTTTGCTACCATGCTGGTGCAATAGCAAGGTCTTGCACAGTTTAAGTGTTATCTTATCAAATCATTATGTACCTATAATTGTTCTACATGACGAGTTTCTTTTCTTTATGGAATACAGGAATATAAATTTATTACTAAATCTTAATGGTGTAGGGTATATGTAAATGAATTCAATTAGAACTCACATTTTTGTTTTCTGTTTTGTAGCTGCCTTAATCATTAGTTGGTGATATTTGAGAGATTGGGTCATCTGGTTGTTTGGATTTAAGTGGGATTGAGGTTATCTTTGCCGCTTTTTGTGATTTGGGTCTGGGTTATGGTTAAGTTATTGCTATTTATTCTGGGTATTTGCTGAAATTTGTGTTCAATTAGTGTGAGTTCTGTAATTGGTTTGTGTACGTTCATATAACCTTCTGTTCTTGGAATGTGATTTAGGTGTGGCTCTTTCATTTGATTCTTAATTCTTTATGATTCAGCACTAAGTTGATATTGATGATGAATTTTTCCTCGAGATTAATGCTTTCATGTTTAAATCTTAATAACTATACTTGCTTCTCTTGGGTGTATTTTTTGCCGGTCCTGAAACACTGTCGGCCAGTCTTTTTGCACCACTCTTTTGCACTCTTTTCCGTGGCTATCATGTTTCTCTCTGACCTTATAAATTTTGCCTTCATTCACAGCAAAAAACCTTGCGGCGAGCAAACTGGCACAACCAATTCTGCCAGAATTGCTGGAGAATTCCACAACCAAGGTCATTGAGTACGGCCAGAAGCATGTTGAGGGTCGAGACGGCGATAGCACCGATGTTGGCAAGAGCGGCGACCCCTTTTCAAGGTACGGTCTTCACTGATTTGAAGTTTTAGTTTGTTTGTGATTTTTTTATCTTTTGGATTTGTAATTTATCCTTTTGTACCTGACAATTTGTGATTCAAAAATTTTTTCGCGCGTTTTGATTTTCCTGTGAATTTATATGGGTTTAGATTTTTATTGTTAATTTACTGATGTTTGGGGGATCATTTTGGCTTCTAGATTGGTTTGAACATTTTCCTGTCTTTGTTTTTTCCTTTGTGTAGTTTTAGTCAGATTGAAGTGTTCTTTGCAATTTGAGATTTAATTGAAGTGTTTAGGATTATCTACATATATATATATATATATATATATATATAAAATCAATGTTGAAATTTTAAACTAAATCACTATGCTGCAATCAAACCCACAGATTGTTGGGTCCAAAAGAAGAAGAAGAAGAAGGAATGAACAACATGAAATTGGCTTTGGGTAAGCTTCCTCTCTCTTCTGTGTATGATCTCTTTGAGAAGTGATTTTGGTTTGTGCTTTCAAAAAAGATGATGGCAATTTCATATTTGGACAGAGAAAACAATAGGCATTTATAATGAAGTGGAATTTTTCATGGTTTATCAACATGCATGTTATAAAGAATTCTTCATTTAATTTTTGGGTTGTGTGTTTTGTGCTGTTTCATTCGTGACTTGTGTGTTTTGTTGTATCTGATTCCGGTATCTGATTCGAGTATACGTCATTGAAGAATGTTAATGAATCCAAACATGGGTTTTGGGGTGTTCTTGCTAGAAAAGCCAAAGACATTCTCGACGATGATGATAATGGAGTTCAGGATTATGATTCACCCCGAACAACAAGGACGGATATGCTGTCTATGCCAACAAGGGGGTAAGGTGAGATATAGTTTTCGTCATGTCTTTATGGTAGCTTGTCATTTTCCAAGGACTTTTAATTGCTGCTGCGTTGTTGAATACATTAAGAATGATCCGGTAAACCAGAGAGGGAGTCATCAGCTTATGGATCTGTTAACACATCCAATGTGTTGTAATCTTTTCGCTACTTAAACATGTTAAGACATCAACTCTAAAAAAAACTTTGGTCTGCTACTTATGGTGCTGTTGGTTTACTCCAACGATAATACCTAGCTAGGATAGCCTTTTCTTTATGTCTTAATTATTGATAGTGCTATCGTCATGGCAGGCTATGTTGGAGCAAAAACTGTGCAGGCAAAGACATAAGAGTGATGGGTTTTGGAATGAAATGCAAAGTATATCATTTTGTGCTGCTTAAGTAAAAGTTTCCCCTTCTGTTATATCTGTGTGTTGGATATCGTAGAAAATTAATATAAGTTGTATATTCATGATAACTGACTGATTAAGATTACTTACAAGGGGTCTATATGCACAGGAGAGCTCAGCATGAGGGTGCTGTTGGTTTGCCTTGCCTGGAAGTGTTGCAGTGCGGGGTTGTTCAAGAAAAAAGGTTTTAAAGATCCTTTGCAGATGCAGGATCTTCTGCTAAGGTATGGGAATTCCTATTGTTAAATGATAACATTGTAATCCGAGTGTAATTAGTTTAGGGTTTTTTTTTTTTTTTTTTTTTTTCTGTGAACTGTTATTTACAATGTCAGAATGTTTCTTTGAATTCAGTTGCTAAGGTTTCTTTTTATAATTTCCCCTTTTAAGACATTTGCATTTTTGTCCAGATTGTGTGAGCCGTTGCTTCAGCCAAAACAGGTGCTCTCTCCATTTTTCATCTCTTCCATACTCAAACCCTAGCCGCTCCACCTCTCTCTCCCATACATAAGCAAACTCCATCTGAAAGCCGAAGAATCCAAAGGTAAATCCCTTCGAACTCTTCGATTATCAACCAGATTTCAGACTGTTTTTGGGATATACACTGCTATTTCATACAGTGTTAGTTCAATAGTTTAATCCTAAGACCTAGCTCATGAGACGTCAGAATTTCGATTGACTTAACTTTTGTCCTATGCCTTTTTTGTAGGAACAACAGGGATTGTAGACTACACAAACTTAGAAGATATGAAGTACGTGCTGAGTCCTTTTACTTTATCACTCCAGAGTCCAGACATTCATATTTTCTGTAACCTTCTATGGAGCATGGGTACTAGGTTGTTGAATATTGCTTTTTCAATATGTCGATGTGTCTGAAGCGTCTATAAGAATCTCAAACTCCATAAATAATTTCCAAGCAGATCAAAAAACTTGATGGCTCTGAGTTTTGAACTGCTTTTGACCGCCAATCTGTTCGCGTATGAATCTTACAAGTTGAAAATTTATTTTCTTTCCTCCTGTATTTTTGTTTATCTGTTGCTCTGTTGGGTTTTTTTCCAATAACTCAAAGGGCCGAAAGGTATTCCCTTTTCATATTCTTCTCTCCCAATTTTTTTAGGGTTAATTTCAATTTTCTTATGCTATTTGCCGGGGTGCTGTTTAGGGTTTAACTATTTGATTTCACAGATTCATTTCAGACACGGTAAATAGTTACATTTTAAATTCGTATTTCATAACTTGGTTGCTTGATTCTAATGTCGATTCGTTCCAACAGAAGTGAACCTTTTTCTTTCAATAATTTAATCTGATGCAACTCTGTTTTTGTTCTCTCATGTCTAGGTTGGTCAAGGACATGGGGAGAAGAGCACTTTGGAAATGGGTATGAAAGGAAATAAACTTGCTGAACTGCATTGGCATCTATTGTTCTGGTTTTTCTTTGACAAGTTAACTTGCTCTCTCTTTGCAGTAAGGTGCACAAATATGGAAAAAGCACGACAGGGGAAAGCTGGGATATTGTTGTGGATGAGGAGACCTATTACGAGTGAGTCTGGACTTGGTTCTGGTTCTGTCTACATATAGTATGTTGAAGCTCCATTTCTTGAAATAGCTTGCATATTGTAGGTTGATTCACATTCATTTTGTTTACTTGAGAAGGTCCATTTCTTGAAATAGCTTGCATCCTTATTGCTGGTCTGACAATCATTCTGTGGCTAATTGTGGTTGTCTCAGAATGCACGGGCTAATTGTGGTTGCATCCTAGCTAGCTACGAAGGATCTTTAGTCTTAGCGACAACTTGTACGAAGGACTGTTCCCAGTTCCTGGTGGGGTTGTGAATATGACTCTACAGATGGACTACAGATGTACTAGCTTCTTAAATGGCAGTATGTATAGTTCAACCCTTCTTATCATCTTTGAGTAAGAAAAATCAAAGCATTAATTATTCTGCATGAGTTTTCATGCATTCACCATCGTGTGAATGCATCAGAGTTTTTGGCCAAATTTTCCACATAAAATTTAGAGAGTTTTAACGAAATACTCTTGGTACTCGGTCTTAGCTACGACTTGTATGAAGGACTGTTCCCAGTTCCTGGTGGGGTTGTCAATATGACTGGTCTTAAAGTTCTGTCCCTACAGATGGACTATCTACTTAAATGGCCGTATGTACAGTTCAACCCTTCTTATCATCTTTGAGCAAGAAAAATCAAAGCTTTAATTATTCTGCATGACTTTTCATGCATTCACCATCGTGTGGAATATATCAGAGTTTTTGGCCAAATTTTCCACATAAAATTTAGAGAGTTTTAACGAAATACTCTTGTACTTCATTATATAGTGACGACTTGTATGAAGGACTGTTCCCAGTTCCTGGTGGGGTTGTGAATATGACTTACATGGCCGTATGTACAGTTCAATCCTTCTTATCATCTTTGAGCAAGAAAAATCAAAGCTTTAATTATTCTGCATGACTTTTCATGCATTCACCATCGTATGGAATACATCAGAGTTTTTGGCCAAATTTTCCACATAAATTTTAATCCTCTCAACTTCCTAACATTATCAAACATTAATTTTATCCTCTGAACAAATTAAAGAAAGATAGTTTGAAAGTTGAATCTGATCTGGAGATAAAGTTGACAAGTATTATTACACGGCAACTTGATGATGTTGCTGGTGATGTATCTGGATTGGCCGTGAAATGGTATGGAATTTGTTTATGCTTTTACGCTACACAAACTGAGTCGTTTTTGCTCTTATCTGTTGGAGTTTTATGAGTTGCTCTTATCTGTTGGACTGTGCCTTGCCATGAATAGTGAAGGATGGTCTTTCATATACAATTGGATCATGATAATGTTTCGAGGCATTTCAAATTATTCCACATGTAAATAGTTTTGAATTCAGAGTTTAGTCTTTCAATTTCAAGCTGGCATATGATCTTTGAATATTATCATTCTAATTTTCTGAAGGTAAATAGAAAAATAGCATGTAAATCGAACAATGTTTCATAATCTTTTGTATGGTGGTCCTATTGTTGATCCAAAGCCACAAGAACTTTGTTGGTCTAATCTTTTTTGCATGTAATTAGAAGTCTGATCTTTTGTGTGTATACAAGCAACAATATCATTTAGATGCTTTTAAAACCCGCAGCATCGCATGGGCAATTTTTGCTAGTTATAACCAAATGTATGAAATTGAAATGTTATAGAAATGTTGTACGAGGTTACAATTGGAGAGATTTTTCAATGTGACCGGAACATAGGATGGTACATCACATGTCACTATATAAATGATAGAGCATGGGATGAAAAAATTTTCGTTAGAATTGTACCAAAATTTAAAGAAGTAAATTGTAATATACCCCTTTTACTTTCACTTGCACATTTACCTGTTTGACGCCCAGCTTAGGTGGAGAGATTTTTGCTAGTTATAGCCAAATGTATGAAATTGTACCATGGCAATTTTTGCTAGTTATAACCAAATGTATGAAATTGAAATGTTATAGAAATGTTGTACGAGGTTACAATTGGAGAGATTTTTCAATGTAACCGGAACATAGGATGGTACATCACATGTCATTATATAAATGATAGAACATGGGATGAAAATTTTTTCGTTAGAATTGTACCAAAATTTAAAGAAGTAAATTGTAATTTACCCTTTTTACTTTTACTTGCACATTTACCTGTTTGACGCCCAGCTTAGGTGGGTGTATTATATCCTAGTAAAAATATCACATCCATCAAAAAAATTAATTTTTCATGTATATTAATACAATGTATTTGAAGGAGCGAAGATTCCCAATTCCAAGTGGGGTCTTAAATTAACTTGTGTCTCTATAGATGTGGACTAGCTAGTCCTAAATAGCCGCTTAGTTTAATCCATCTTATCATCTATGAAACTTTTGTCCAAGATTCCAAGAGTCCGTCCGACGACTGCTACTCTCATTGATGTGCACCGATTTGAAAATGCGGTCTCATGCCGTAGAGGATGGTTTAGAAAAGGTGAGGCTCCCTAGTATATATAGGTAGCACTACTCTGGATCCTTCATTGCTCATACACATCACCTGCTTCATACACTTGAACTTTATGGAGAGAACCATGAGAGTTGTTTTACTGCTAATCAGGTTTCTAGCCATTGCAACCATTACTTTTAGTATTGGTTTATGCAATGGAAATCCCGGTCGGCCTCCGCTTTGCAAAGAAAGCGAAAGACAGGCACTTCTGAAGTTCAAGCAAGATCTCAAGGACCCTGCCAATCGGATTGCGTCGTGGGTTGCAGAAGAAGATTCAAACTGTTGCAGTTGGATAGGAGTTGTCTGTGATCACATGACCGGCCACATCCATGAGCTGCACCTTAATAATTCCAACTCTAATTGGGATTGCAACTCTTGTTTCGGTGGTAAGATAAATCCTTCTTTGCTCAGTTTAAAGCATCTCAAATACTTGGACTTGAGTGAAAATAATTTCAATACAACACGAATTCCCAGTTTCTTTGGTTCTATGACAAGTTTAACACACCTTAACCTTGGATACTCACAGTTTTATGGAATAGTTCCTCATAAACTGGGAAATCTCTCCAGTCTACGCTATCTCAATCTCAGTAGTATTCTTCTGGAGGTTGATAACCTTCAGTGGATTTCTGGTCTTTCTCTGCTGAAACGCTTGGACTTGAGTTCTGTAAATCTTAACAAAGCATCTGACTGGTTGCAAGTTACAAACATGCTCCCTTCTTTGGCAGAGTTAGATATGTCCTTTTGTCAACTTGATCAAATTCCCCATCTACCCACCGCAAATTTTACTTCCCTGGTCGACCTTGGTCTTTCTGAAAACCATTTTAATTCTTTGATGCCGAGGTGGGTTTTCAGTCTTAAAAATCTAGCTTCTCTTCGTCTCAGTGATTGTGGTTTCAAAGGTCCAATTCCTAGCATTTCACAGAATATCATATCTTTGAGGGAAATTGATTTGTCATACAATTATATTAGTCTTGATCCGATTCCCAATTCTATTCAGAATATGACCGGTCTTAAAGTCCTTAATCTTGAGGGGAACAACTTCAATTCTACCATACCTGAATGGTTGTATAGCTTGAACAATCTCGAGTCCTTACTTCTTTCTTACAATGAATTACGCGGTGAAATATCGAGTTCCATTGGAAACATGACATCCCTTGTCAATCTTCACTTGTATGGTAATCGGTTGGAAGGGAACATACCAAATTCTTTGGGGCATCTTTGTAAGTTGAAAGTTCTTGATCTGTCAATGAACCATTTCACGGTTCAAAAACCATTCGAAATCTTTGAAAGTTTGTCTAGATGTGGTCCAGATGGAATAAAGTCGTTGTGGTTGGGGAATACTAATATATCAGGTCCCATTCCAATGTCACTAGGAAATCTGTCAAGCTTGGAAAAATTGGACATATCTGGAAATCAGTTTAATGGAACTTTCACTGAAGTTATTGGTCAACTCAAAATGCTAACGGAATTGGATATATCTTATAATTCGTTAGAAGGTGCGGTGTCGGAAGTTTCTTTTAGCAACCTTACAAAGTTGAAGCATTTCTTTGCAAAAGGAAACTCATTAACTCTGAAAGCTAGTCGAGATTGGGTTCCTCCTTTTCAACTTGAAATTTTGCGGCTGGATTCCTGGCATTTGGGGCCTGAATGGCCGATGTGGTTGCGGACACAAACGCAATTAAAAGAACTAAGCTTGTCTGGTACAGGAATTTCAAGTACTATTCCAACTTGGTTTTGGAACTTGACTTCCCAAGTAGGGTATTTGAATCTCTCTCACAATCAGTTGTATGGGCAGATTCCAAATATATCTGTTGCTCCATATTTAGTGGTTGATCTTAGTTCTAACCATTTCACTGGTGCATTGCCTATTGTTCCCACCTCATTACAATTGCTAGATCTTTCCAATTCATCATTTTCTGGATCTGTTTCCCACTTCTTCTGTGATAGGCTGGATGAAACAAAGCGACTTTTTGTTCTTTATCTCGGGAACAATTTTCTCACTGGAAAAGTACCCGATTGTTGGATGAGTTGGAAATACTTGAGATACCTAAATTTAGAAAACAACAACCTAACTGGGAATGTCCCAATATCCATGGGACACTTACGATGGCTGGCATCACTGCAATTGCGCAATAATCACCTGTACGGAGAATTGCCACATTCCCTGCAGAACTGTATCTGGTTGTCAGTTGTTGACCTTAGTGAAAATGGGTTTTCCGGAAGCATACCAATATGGATAGGGAAAAGCCTTTCAGAGTTGAATGTTCTTGATCTTCGTTCAAATAAGTTTGAAGGAGATATTCCTAATGAAGTTTGTTATTTGAAAAGTCTCCAGATATTGGACCTTGCACATAACAAACTCTCAGGAATGATACCGAGATGCTTCCACAATTTGAGCGCCATGGCTAATGTGTCAGAATTCTTTTCGTCAACATGGCGTAGGTTTTTTGTTTCTGATGAGGTTCATACAGGTTTTGAGAATGCAATCTTGGTAACGAAAGGGATAGAAATGGAATATAGCAAGATTCTGGGATTCGTAAAGGGCATGGACCTTTCATGCAACTTTATGTACGGAGAGATCCCTGAAGAACTTACCGGCCTCCTCGCATTGCAGTCACTCAATTTATCGAATAATCGCTTCACCGGAAGAATTCCTTCAAAGATTGGTAATATGGAACGGTTAGAATCTCTCGATTTTTCCATGAACCAACTTGATGGTGAAATTCCTCCAAGCATGACGAATTTGACATTTCTGAGTCACTTAAACTTGTCCTACAACAATTTGACGGGACGAATTCCGGAAAGCACTCAACTGCAGAGCCTCGATCAGTCGAGCTTCGTCGGCAACGAACTATGCGGAGCTCCACTCAACAAGAATTGTGGCACGACGCCACCAACAGTTGAGCAAGACGGAGGAGGTGGATACCGTTTACTAGAAGATGGGTGGTTCTACGTGAGCTTAGGAGTTGGATTCTTCACGGGGTTTTGGATTGTACTTGGTTCTTTGCTGGTAAACATGCCATGGAGCGTTCTTCTTTCACAGTTGCTGAATAGGATAGTGCTTAAAATGTATCATGTAATTGTTGAATATGTTTAGCTTTGTTTTGTACTTTGCGTAAGTTTGTTGGCATTTTCCTTGCTGTGACGAATATGCCAATATGGTTGTGTTGTATGATTTTGTCAAATTTCGTCGTCTTGTTTCATTGTATTTTCTTTCAGGTTTGGTTTTAGAGGGATTAGGTTTCATCTTTAGAGGGATTAGGTTTCATGTCCCCCCTCCCTTGTATAATATTTATTTTCGTTTCTAGAGGGGTAAGGTTTATGTCCCCCCTTCTTACTCAATGTTGTTTTTCTCCTTTTCTTGGCATTATGAGGGGTAAGGTTTATATTCTCCCCTGACTAAATGTAACTTATTTGTTTCGTTATTAATAAAATATCCCTCGTACCGTCGAGGTTTTCTTAAAAAATAAAAAATATAAAAAAAAAATCCCATATAAAATTAAAAGACTTGTTTTCTGAACAAGTAACTCTTAATTCAGCAGAAGCAAATTGAATGACAAGAGAAATGTGTGAAAATGGTTTAGGGATTAGTTACCTATTAATTAAGGGGTGTGATATCCACACATCCCATTTTACTTCTCACACACCTTTTTAATTTTTGGTCGTCGGATCGGATGAATTGAAGAAGATCAACGGACAAAAATTATCAAGAAGTGTGTGAGAAGTAAAATAGGGTGTGTGGATAACACACCCCATTAATTAATTATCAGCAAACTCACATTATTCACATTATTTTGTGGTTGTATTTTTAATTATTTTTCATTTACAATTTTACCTTTGGATCTTTCTTTTGTTCTCTCTCTTCTGTCTCCCCTTCTTCTTTGTAGTACTTATCTCTCTCTCTTCTTTGTACTAATTCACATGACACCTCTCGCTCTTTTACGAGAAAACCCAATTGCTATACAGCTTTGAAATGATTGTGGAGCAAGCAAAATGGTGACGATAGAGTTAGCATGTTCCTATGTTATTTAGAGGCACTCTCTGTCACAAAGCATTCGTATTGATGCCAATATACGCAAAGTTTACAAACTTGAAACATGAAGCAACTTTGTTCCTAGAATAAATAAAATCGACTCGACTCGACTCAACATGTATCGATCTGTAGTTGCTTGACATCCTAAGCATAAGGGTTAAGAACAGGGGTCTGTTTAAATCTCCGAAAATAAAATAATAAGGGCATATATTGCATGTACAAAATCCGAATCCTGTACTTTACATGAGTCTCCAACATTAGCGAAACTTCATCTCATTTGGTTTGTTGCCTCTAATGCTGTGGTTGAGCCTACTTGTTTTACATAGGCTAACAAATATCCCGAATGGCGACAGGCAATGGCAGAAGAGTTTAATGCTCTTTTGTGTACTGGCACATGGTCCTTGGTTCCATTTCTTCCATCCATGAATGTTCTTCCAAATAAATGGGTATATCGGATCAAACGACATTCTGATGGTTCCATACTGCGGTATAAGGCTCGATTAGTTGCAAATGGCTTTCACCAGCAAGAAAGTATAGATTGCAGCGAGGCGTTCAGTTCGGTTGTCACTCATGCAACAATCAGACTCATTCTCTTCATTGCACTTCACTACAATTGGCCTATCTGACAACTTGATGTTCAGAATGCTTTCTTACATGGTTCTTTGGCAAAAGAAGTTTATATGCAACAAACCTTCAGGTTTTGTGGATCCTCAGTTTCCATCACATATTTGTAGACTGCAAAAATCATTATATGGTTTGAAACAAGCACCTCGTGCCTGGTTTCAATGTTTCTCCCAACATCTTGAAGAACTTGGGTTTCAAGCCTCAGTAGCAGATTCTTCGCTATTCACCTTATTTAATGGATCCATAGTTATCTACTTGTTGACATATGTTGACGACATCCTTGTTACGGGCAATAATCGATCACATATATCTCGGTTCATTCAACAGCTTGGTCAAAAGTTTTCTATGAAGGATCTAGGTCCTTTGCATTATTTTTTGGGAATGGAAATTACACAGGCATCCATTGCCATGTATCTTTCTCAATCCAAGTACATCCTGGACCTTCTAAAGAATACCAAAATGTCTGATGCAGAGCCTCTCACCACTCCCGCTGCAACTGGCCGTAAGTTGAGTATATATGATGAAGAACCTTTATCAGATGGCACTAATTTTGAAGTATAGCCGGTGCTCTCCAATATCTTCTTTTCACAAGACCTAATATTACTTTCACCGTCAATTAGGTCTGTCAATATATGCATTCACCCACTACTACTCATTGGGCTGCTGTTAAACGCATATTCTGATACTTGAAGGCCATTCATGATCAGGACATTGTCTATAAACCTAGTCCTCTCACACTCACTACATTTGCCAATGTGGACTACGCTGGAAATCCTGATGATCGGCGCTCTACTAGGGGCTATTGCATTTTCCTTGGAGATAATCTTGTCTCTTGGAGCTCCAAGAAACAGAGAGGGGTGTCTTGCTCAAGCACTAAGGCTGAGTATAGACAACAGACCTATATGGCAGCCACTTTATCTTGGTTTTGCCATATCAGATTGCAGATCTTCTCACAAAAGGTTGTCCTCTTCTTGTTTCAGTTATCTCCTCTCCAAGCTTCTTGTTCGTAAACACCCGCTTAGCTTGCGAGGGTGTGATAAACCTATTATTCCTACATGTACTCCAGGTCAGCAATCCACATCCCTGCATTTTGAATCACCTAAGTCCCGCTCACCAAGTCAAAGTTAGTTTGGATAACTCAAGGACTCTTTACCAAATACAGAACCCAACGCAGTCCTATCTCTTCTTAGACTCTATCAGTTTATATTTGTAATTTGAATTCACTTGTAATCTACTATACGTTTATATTGTAACATACTTATCTTGTAATCTCTATATAATAAAGGCAAAACCTCACTCATCTTCAATTGAGTTGAGCTTATGCAATCAGTCTTTACAACCCTAGCTTAAATTCTTTCAAGTAAAGTATTGGAATCTTAATCAAGCGAATTATTAGAAATGGTGCATTGAATTTACTTGTAAGGGAACTGGATCTGGCTCTCCTGATGACTGCCTAAAACTCACCATGTGCCCACGAGTCTTCATCGCTGCCAGCGATCCTTGAAAACAATATCTATTTGTAAGAATTCGTAGTCCAAAATAAATGTTATATATCAGATAATGTCGAATGCTCTTGACCAACTGAGTTAGAAGTCACTTGCGTCAATTTTGGAGTTGGTTAGGCATATATATGCAGCAACATATGAGTAAATCATGACACACTTATGGAGATCATAAGAAAAGTAAAACTTAAACCTCAAACGTATCCTTCCCTACTCCATCATAGACAACATCAACGCCATTGTCGAAAGTTATTTCTTTCACATGAGCGACAAAGTCCTCTTTCTTTCACACAAACGCCATTGTATAATTTGAGTAGGCAGCTACCACCAGAATTGAACTTCTCATTTATTTTTTTTCTGGGTAAAAAAAAAAAAAAGGTGAAAAGAAAGGTGATTGGAAATCACTCCCAAAAAGCGAAAAGCATTTGACTGAGGGGTAATTTGTTTGAGATCGTGAAATATTTTTTATATTAATAAATGTTTTGACTCCGAGATTTGAATTTACTCTCAGAAAACATAAAATGACATTTTTACCTTCACATCATCAAACAAGGCTTATTGCTCATACTTCACACAACTATTGGTCTCCAGTCGAAGGAGGCAGATGGTTTAACTGTAGCTGCTAACTATGATTCATGTAGACCTATTAAGGGAGTGGACCATGTGGGTAGGAACTACTATGTTATCTTGTTTTCTAAATTCGCTTTAGAGACAGACGGTGCACTCTTTCAAGGAACAACTGAAGAGAAAAACGTATTGGTGGAAAATTTTTAAATATCTCACAACGGCACGGATCCTATATACGGAGATATCCAAAACTTGCATATTCCTTGTTATTAACATATCAATGAGACCTACAAGGGATATGGGAGTACATAAAACTCCTTCCATGCCAGCTTTTAAGCACAAGAATGGCTTGTAAGGGAAAGGTGTTTCTTGGAATGTCCATATGCTCCAGATGAATGGACGAGTAAGAGACCCGTACAAGCACAATCTTTGGTGAAAGCTATAGGCCGGTCCCCGTGCGCGGCGTACTTTGAGGTTTGTCTTTCTTGAATACTTTGAAAAGTCAAGGCAGTAGAACTAGTGCCAAAATTTCGGTTGGTCGAATGGATACATATAGACAGGTTGGTTGATCGAGTGGCTCAATTGCCTGTTCTGTGCTCAACCCTAGTTCCTCGACAGCACCTCGAGGTGCATTTAGTTGTCTTACATGAGACTAGGGATATTCCTCACTCCATGGCACTTCTCGCGCATTCATTCTTCCTGCCCTTCCAGACGTGACACCCCTTATCATTATCATCTACCACCGTTTCTTTCCTCTCAGCTATTCATGCATGAAGATCGTCATATATATACTTGACTTCGGTTACCAGTGCTATAGGTAGGAGTACATTATGGCAGATCAATCACCCGGGTAAACCAACCCTCCTCCAAGAAGAATTGTTTTGGTGACTTATTGTTTTACTTCCTGATCAGTTTGAGTGAATACTTCATTGTGAACTTGGAAGTCTCTCAAGTCTACGTGTTGTGCACCTCGGTTGATATGAATTATGTAGATACTAAAAAAGCATATGATTGATATGTTATCCTTTGAGGGTGTACAATTAAAACACTTATGTGGAGCCAAAAATAATCTCAAAAATCATGGAGGTGACACATGTACTTTTAGCCAAAAAAAAAACAAGACTGCCCTTATTAAATGAGCTGGGCATCCCAAGCGCAGCTCAATATCCTAGGACTACTCAGAGCTCCACTGCACGTGGAAAAAGTCGAAGGTACTTAGTGATAGGATTATCCCTAAATCCTATCATATATGCATTCCCAATTGAAGATAAACCCTATCAAGTAATTATCCCAATTATATTTAATTAGGGATAATTACCTTTAATTTCAAGATATTATTTACACAATATCTTGGGAACATTCTCACCAAAATCAACCCTAATTGCTGGCCAATTCTCGTATAAATACCCAATTTCTCCACAAAAAAATGGTACGCATTTTATATGCACAGAAAACCTTAAGCACTCACTTTTATCAG